CTGAGCAAAGAAGGATACAGGAAGGCACGCCGGCAAGGGAGGTGAACTGAGGCTGCTCTTTTCAGTAGGTGCTAACTGTAGCATAGGCGCAAGAGGAAACTCTGCTCAGGATTTGTTGCACCAAACTTGCTGCTTCCCAGTTACGCTCTCATAAAAAGGGGAATATTTTCCTGCTCCTTCAGTGAGCTGAAATCGCTCAGCAGGGTGTCAAAAAAGGGGCTGTGATGGAGCGGGCAGTCACCTGTGGACAGCAGGGATTATTAAACCTTAGCTCCAGTGTTACTACTTTGGAATTAAGGAGACAGACTGCCAGAGGGAAATGTTCCTTCTGCTGCAATCACTTATCTACTTCATTTGGCACTTGTCTCACAGACACTACAGAAGTACTGCTTCTCACATGGGTAGCAGTAACTTTTTTACTGGCTTTCGTCCTGAATTACAGGAGCAAGCTGAGGCCTGACCCAGGGCCCTGTCACTGAAGTGGAAGGAAGAAACATCAATATTTACAAATGAGACTGAAATGTCTTTGCCTTTGAAGCATTTGGCAAGAGGTTGATATTTTCAGGAATTGGATCCTGCTTTAGAATTTAGAGTGTGATATCTAAGTAAAGACTTTATCCTTCAAGGAGTAGAATAAGACTGTGGGATTGGGACAGAGGCTTTCCTTAAACAGATCCAACCCAAAAAAGCGTGGAGATGACACATCTTTCTCAGTATACAGCAAAGACTGTGGCCCGTGACCAGCAGGTATGCAACCTGAGAGAGATTTGCCTGGGATAATTGGTTTGCCTTATTACCCTCAGGAATTTTAGTTGCATCAGCTTTGCTTATTCTGTCCATGCAGTGAGTGCAGCCAATCCTGCTTTATTACCATGAGCTTAGATGCTCTTAGAGAAGAACATGTTCCTGCTCATCTCACCTACGTGATGAGTGGAAACATTGCACTTGCTTGGGACTTCAATCAAAACACAGGTAGGATTCTTCTAAAATTACCCAGTGGAGTTAATGTGCAGTTAGATAGGTGCAAGAAAGTCCAAAATCAGGCCCTGAAGTTATGCTAGCTTGAACACTCGAGGAGACTTCATTATTTGTGGTGAAGAGGATACAGGGTCAGATCTGTGGTGTTCCTGGGGCTGTGGTCTGCACATTACCCCTGGATGAAAGCCAGAGGGAGGTGAAGCAGTCTTTAGTACATTGCTGGGAACAAAGTTTGAGAAAGAACAGTTATTTCAGAAGGCGAATGGTATATGAGTGAGAGCAGGTCTCAGAAGGAAATTAAAAGTGCAGAAAATTTGCTTTATAAAGAAGGATGTGGAGAGAAAGGTGGCAGGACAAAAAGTTTATCTTGGTTAGAAGGGGATTGGGTGAAGACAAAATTGCTTCTTGAAGGTGCTTCAAAAGAACATACGGAGAAGCTGTAGGGTGGCTGTAATGCCCTCAGCAACTAAAGAGCTTTCCTGAATGCTGCCTTGTTTTTTACTGCATCTGTGGTGTGTATTTCACTGTATGTAAGCAATCACACAAACGTTGTCTTTATAGCCCTGGCTTCAGGATGGTCTAGGGTAAGACTGTGATTTATTTTACTCTTGGTTCACCTGGTGACAGCAGCCACATTGCGCTGGGGCCTCAGTTTCTGCCTCGAGTATGAGGATTGAATGGGAACTCACTTGGAACTGGGGGTGCAGATGCTGCTCTCGCTAGTGCAAGGCTTGGGAGGCTTTTCCAATGTACCACCATGTGCTCATTAAACCTAAACCCACAACGTAAATGTTTCAGTGTCATCCAAAAGGTGTGCCTTGGAGACTAAACCAGGGCTGAGATAGGCCAAGTCTAACAGTGGAAATCGCTTCCAGCTGTGTCACTGTGTGGGACTGAGACATGTGCTGCCGAGTTCAAATCCCAGCCCCTCTCCTTTCCAGTTTGTTGTCTTTTGCTGTTGCTATGCAGAGAAACAAGTGGTTGTATAAAGATGACAATCTTGTGGTTTCTGTCCTTCCCGGTGCAGGCGGGCAGCAGTGAGTGGTCTGTGCTGGCCCGCCTGGAGGGCTGCGGCAGAGCAAAGCGGGAGCTGCGGGCAGGGTGCAGGCAGGCGGCCCGGGGCGGCCATGGTGGGAGGGCCGAGGTTTGACAAAGTGGGTGTCTGGGGTGCTCCTGGAGGGGGGCCCTGTAGGGTTAGACTGGGCGCTGGATGAGAGCAGCGTGACCAGGAGCAAGATGCAGGAGCCCAAAAGAGGTACCGGTGGGGTGAGGGGTGCGGGCATC